GAACTAGAAGGTAATGTCACAGAGGCAAACTGGAAGGGAAGGGTCAGATAAAATAAGCCCTTGGTCAGTTTAAATATTTGGGCTTTTTATCATGCTAGCAAAAGGAGCCATCTAAAGGATTTGAGCTGTAGACAGACTGACCTAGATTTTTAAAAGATCGCTGTAGTTGCTATGTTGCGAACACTTGAACTGGACAAGCAGGAAGACAGCTGTGGCATCTGCAGGCTTTATAAAATATGTTCACATCTGCCATCTCATGTGACTCTCAGAAGAGCCCTGTGACATATTTGCTATTTTTCATATTTTACTGTGAGGAACTAGAAGCATGAAGAACCTAAGCAACTTTCCCAGGGCAGGCATTTGAGTCGCATCTTGAATCCAGATCTCTGCTTTCAATTTTTGTGCTCTTTCCACGTTTCCACATTAGACCCCAAAGGTCTCCATAATCTTTCTCAGCTGAAAGTAATTCAGCTTTTCATGTGTGGGTCTCAGAAGAACAGCAGCATATGGTTTGTGTGGTGGTGGTGGTGGTAGTGTGTGTGTGTGTGTGTGTGTGTGTGTGTGTGTGTATTAGGAGAAACATTATTATTATTACCTGTAGAGGTGGCTTCAATTTAAAATTGATCTACTTGTACCATGAAATAAATCCATGCTTGCCAAGGGTGTACTTGGACATGTGCCATTTTATGTTCAGCCACTTGGTATGAAGATTGGCTATCTGAAGTCTTAAGGATTAAGTGGCCTCATGAATAATCTAAAACAGTTGTTGACATTTAGAATTTCATAGACGAAAGAGTAACAGTTCTTGTAATGTTTCTTTCAAACTTTGGAAGAAATTGAAATCATCCTTGTTTTATTAAGCTATGCTTTTCAGAATCATTGACCCATAAGCATGAGCAAGGTTTTTTTGTGTGATGATTATTCTGTGGATTATAACTGTTATGATTCTTAGTGGGTAACATGTTTCTGATTGTAGAATCATAGTTCACAAAGACTGTTGTTTTAAACTACTGGACAAAACCTGGTTTAAGTTAATTATGAAAAGTCGAGTTGGGGCTAGAGAGTTGGCCCAGCAGTTAATGTTCTGCTCTTGCAGAGGACCTGATTCACTTCCCAGCACCCAATGGCTGCCAGCAGCTGTCTTTAACTCCAGTTCCAGGGAATCCAGCCCCCTCTTCTGCTTCCAAGGGCACTGCAGACCATGTGTATGCAGTGTGAAGCAAAACTTCCAAACAAGTAAAATAAAAATAAATAAAATTCTAAGGGTTAGTTAATTATTTTATCATTATTATGGGTTATAAAGTCACTAACCTAGTTGTATATTCTTGCTGTGCCAGACTCATCCTTCTCTGCTCTTAGAAATATTTTTTTCAATATAACAAAAATACTCTAACCAAGAATCTAAAAGTTCATATCAACAATTATATTCTCATACCCTTTTGTATATTTGGCTACTTCCAGAGCTGCCAAATTCCTCTCAATATTTGTAATGTGACAATTATTCTTAGACAATCCTGAAACCTGGCAGTGGAATGAAATTCTTTTAAATACCAATAGATACAAGGAAACTATAAATATGAAGTATTCTCGTAGCTAAACTTGTTTCTTCCAGTTATTTCAGAGTTCAAGCATTTTTTTTTAAAAGAAATTTCACATTAAACATTAAAATATGTATGGAGACCAAATAGCAACCCCTCATGGCAAAAAAGGAAAACAAGGGAAAGGAAGACAATGGATTTCCTAATCCAGGCCAATAGATGGACAATAAACTCAAAGCTTAGCTTATTTAAATCCTAATTTTTGCCTCATAAGTGATTCCCTTGCTCAAAGTATTGTGTTGCCTCTGATGATGAAGTGTGGTGAAATGCACTGAGTGAGATTTGAGCTTTTTGGTTAAGAAATAAATGCAGACATTCCCAAAGTGTCTGTGGGTGATTGTTATTACAGTATCAAAATTATTACCAGCATAGGTAATGCAGAAAACAGGGGTCACTTTTGCATCAATAGCACACTTGTTTTCTAATAAATGTATCTAAGTATTTGTTCTACAGTTTATTGTATACAAAATAGACCAAACTGCTTAAATAAGCTCAAGGTATTTATTGGAGATAGGCATTATTAGTGGTGAGAAATGCCAGGTCTCACAGTGGGAGTAAGATGATCGAAGAATGATCAGTAGAATCTTTAACTCTCCAAAGTATTAACAATACTGGGCTAGTTTACGAAAAAATCAGTAAACCCCAGATTTTGTCACTTTGGCCATGTTCTTTTGTGTCCTCCTGTTTAACTGTCCCAGTCTTTCTCTGACTGTCTACTTCAGATGGGTCCATTGTGAAGAAGCGAATCTTTTAGGGAAGATGCTGTGAAAAGCATGGGTAAAATTTCTCAGTCACTGACAGTCATGGGGACAGCTTGTTAAAGCACTGACTTTTACCAACCACCCCGTTTCTTCATACAAGAATTTTCATTTCTTCTTCTTTTCTTTTTTGAATTTGTTTTATTGACCTATTTTCCCCCTACTTCCCTCCCCTCTTTCCTTCCACCTTCCTCCGTACCCCCCCCCCCGCACTCACATTTTACTCAGGAGAGCTTGTCTTTTTCCCCTTCCTAGGTGGATCCATGAATGTCTCTTAGGGTTCTCTTTGTTACCTAGGTGCTCTGGGGTTGTGGGCTGTAGGCTGGTTGTCCTTCGCTTTATGTCTGATATCCACTTATGAGTGAGGACAGTGGTATTTGTCTTCCTGGGTCTGGGCTACCTCACTCAGGATGATTTTAAGAATTTGCATTTCTAATCAGTTACCTGGTGATGTCAACACTGCTGGGCCAGCTGCCTCAGTCAACTTAAAGGAAAGTTGTTAACGTTCCTTTCTTAGCATATGTTTATAAATAGAATTTTTGATACCACATATGAAAGAATTAAAAAGCAAAGGTTTTTGTTTGTTTTCTGTGTTTAAGTCTTAAAAAGAAAACAGTCTTTATTTGTCCTCCTTCTAAAACTCTTAATGTTTAACCCTTCTTCCCTGCTTTCTCACTTGTCTGTTCCCCAGGCTCAGTTAGGTATCGTACTAGGCCTCTTCTCCAGGTTCAGTTAGAAAGTCTGCAAGGCCTCTTCACGTGCAGCAAGGCTTGCAGTGTTTCATGCCTGCTCAAGTAAGCATTCAGCCTGAAATATACAATTGTAATGACAATTTAGTATTAATTTTGGTAAAATTAAATTTTATGCAGTAGTCATAATTTGGCAGTGTACCTTTGAAGAATTTATAGTGTGTCAAAATGATAGCATGCCATGTGATTTCTGTTGGTGAAGAATTGAGAAACTGAAAGAATAAGAAATCAGAAAAAGATTCTAGAGAAATATACATGCCTCTTGTTTTTGTCCATATTTGGAGACAACTACTGCGGCCCCCATAGACTTTTACTTTTAGACTCTGGGGCCTTAACTGCCTTTCAAAATATAGTCTTTTATGCTTCCCCAGAGAAATTTCCTTTGTGTTGAATCAGGATCATGACTAGGGTAAATTATGTGTATAGCTTTATAAAAATAAAACACATTCAAAATGAATGTGCCAGATTTCTTAAGCACATGATTAATGAGTTTAAAGTATTATACTTATCACAATATTGTCTGTATGTTTGCCTGCCTGCTTGCCTATCTCTATGTATGTATGTATCTGTATAATCTATGTTATTTTTCTCCCAAACACTTATGCCTATTGCACTGATGAGTGAAAGTATGAGGGAGAGTTGAAAGTAGGAAGTAAATAAAAACTTTTACATATAAATGAAAATAAACTATTTATAAATAGTTTCAGTTAACTATATTTAATATCCTACTGTCTTGGTTCAGATTTCTATTGCTGTGCAGAGACAACCATGACCAAAGAAACATCTAATTGGGGTGGCTCACTTACAGTCCATTATTGCCAAGGAGGAAAACAAGGCAGCCTGCAGGCAGACATGGTGCTGGGGAAGTAGCTGAGAGTCCTACATCTTTAAGCAGGCAACAGGAAGTGGGTGTGGCTTGAGCATATATGAGACCTCAAAGCCTACCTCCACAGTGACACACTTCTAACCAGGCCACACCCCCTAATAGTGCCACTCCCTTTGGGAGCCATTTTCTTTCAAACCACCACACCTGCCTTCTGGCATTGTGGCAAGGTAAATAACATGCTTGAGTACTGAAAGATAACAGCAGTTCTTATATCACTGGAAGTACTTGCCCATTGAAAACATCAGTTTGCTGAATGGGTTAGATTTTCTACTTCAGTAATCTGAGTTTAAAATTTATTGATTTGTATTTATGTGAGTTTCTTTCATATCTGTTAGCTTTCTGTTACCGTAATAAATACTAGAGATGAATCAAGTTTAAAAGCAGAAAGGTTTATGTGGCTGTTGATTTCAGAGATTGTAGTCCATGGTCACTTGGCGCAGTTGCTTTGGGTTTATGGTGGCACAGTGCGTTATCAGGGACACGTAGTGGAAGAGGTGTGCTTCTCCCATATCTGCTGGGAAGTGGAAGATGGGCATAGGAGGGGCGAGGTTCCCAGTCTCCCCTCAAAAACTGACTCAGTGTTCTGACTTCATCCACTAGACCCTACCTCCTGATGGTTCTACCACCTCCTGATGGGGCCAAGGCTGCAGCATATAGGTCTTTGGGAAACACTTGAATATCAGCTACAGCAATTTATGTAATGTAATTATAGGATTTTTCAAAGCAAGTAAACCATTGCTTTTGTTTAATCAGTTTATAAATATGGGCTTTAATACTTATAAAAATTATTTTTAAATTGTTGGCTATGTACAGTATACCAGGCCTAGAGTACTTAAGTATGTCAGTGTTGTGACTTGTTTCTGGACCATGATTTTTTTGCTGTATGTATGGAACCACAAGACAAATCTTGCTTATTTCTAGCTACACGTAGCACGCATGTGTGCCATTGTAATTTCCACCACTTCATCTTTTGTTGTTGCTTTATTTCTCTATTTTGTTTTGTTTTTAGCATGCTGGAACAGGATTCCAGGAGAGTGAAGCCGAGTGTGAACCCTGCAAATCAAAGGAGGCATCTTTTAGAATTTTCCGCTAAAGAAGTTCAAGACACATCAGATGATATCAACCAGAAAAACAGCTACAGGTGGGGTGGCCTGTTGGCCTCATTGATTTCATGAATTGGAGAAGCCTTACCTAGTGTCACTTTACACGTACATTGTCCATGTTGGCTTTGACTAGTTGAGCAAGTGAACTATGATGCCATTAATTTTTTTAAAAAAAATTTAATTTGTTTTATTTTTAAGATTAATTTTAAGAATAAGTTTACTTTGAAACATTTCCCAGGTTAGGATATTTGTTGAGATGTGATCATATAATTGGTTTGTTTGTATTGACATACATGTATGAAATACTATCTTCAGTTTTTTCACTGTATTATTGTTTAGTACATTTATCTAATATTTATGTCTATGGATAGATAATGGCAGAATGATATGGTTGAACCTAGTTGTGGTCATTAAGTAAAATTATTTGTGTTTGTAGTGTTTTTATAATTTAACAGATACTTTGGTAAATTTCCATTTTGCTTAGTGATAAAGCAAAAGATATACATGAGAACATAATTCCCCTAGTCAGTTAATTAAAAGAAGGTACAATGAATGTTTTTAGAGCTATATCCTTTTTTTGTAAATGTGGTGATATCTTGTTTGTACTCTTAACAAATAAAGCTTGCCTGAAGATCAGAGGGCAGAGCTAGCCACTAGTTAACTGTAGAGGTCTGGAGGGCTGTACAGACAGACAGGAAGTGATATGGCTGGGCGGAAAGAAAAGTACAAAGCAGGAAGGGACAGGAGCTTGGCGTCTTTTTGGTCTGAAGATTTTGTGAGGTAAGAACTCTAGTAGCTGGCTGCTCTACTTCTCTGATCTTTCAGCTTTCACCCCCTGGATCTGACTCCAGGTTTTTATTAGTAAGACCAATTAGAACACATGCTACAGGGAAACATTGTCCTATGTGTTTTGGGATTCTTATCAGAGGCAAATAAAAGCAGAATCGGTAATGAAGTGCTTGAAAGTTATTAAAGACCTGGTTGCCCTGAACTGTCTGCAGCGTTACAAGGCAAGGGCACAGAGGAGCCACTCTTCCTTGCCTTTTACTCTTGAGGTTGAGTAAGGAGCCAGTGATCCTATGACAGTGCAGCCTAGCTGGTGGGAGATGTCATGGCATTAGAAAGCATTGAATATTTTCTGCTAATTTGTTTTTTACATGTTAGAATTTGTCATATTTCTGAAATGGTGACACTGGTGATAATGTGTCCCTTAAATTGGTAGAGTTTATTATTTTTTTTTGTTTTTCCAAAAATTTGCCCTGGTTTACTCTCCGTGTTCTATAATTTTGATAGTCTTTGGACTTAGAATGTTTGATCAACTATGGTTAATTGTTAAAAATAAGAACTAATTATTGATTTAGTACTTGAAGCCATACTTTTTTAGTAACCTTTATGGCAATATTATTTATTCTAAAATAACCATAATAAATAGGAGCTTTCATGTATTTGCTCACATTAGCATGAGATAAATGTTGACTCCTGGAACACATACACATTCACTGTAGAGGTCTGGGTGACTTTTAGGGGGAAATCTATCACCCTGAAGACATTTATATTATAACTCAAGTACTTAAATATGTAAACCATCTCTGTTTCCCACACCCAGAGTCACCAGTGGCTGTATCTGAGCTACTGCGGGTCTGAAGCTTAGCGTAGAAAACTTAAGCAAATGTTAGTCCATTACTTTGAAGTTCTCGCCAGTCTTTCTATTAATTATTATCATTATCATTGGTAGTAGTAGCAATATTAAACATAAAGTTCTAAAAGTTATTTGTGAAACATTTGAAAATTCCAAATATGAATTTGTTCTGAGTTGAATTTTAGATGTTTATATGTGCTGTCAGGACACCTGTATGTATTTTCCTTTGGAAAAAAATTAAATTAAATTTTAAACTGCTACTATTTTACTAGTTTCCTATCTGTTAAAAGTATTTAAAATTTTTAATTGACATGTAGTGATTTATGACTGCACTTTGTCATTTTGGTATTTATGTGTAGTGATTGGACCAGAATAATTAGCGTAAAACATCATCTGAGACAGATACTGATTTTTTCTTTGTGTTGAGAGCATTCAAACTCTTCTGTATTAAGTATGTTGAAATATTTGAGGCATTGTGGTCAACCGTAGCCTTCTCTGCTGCAGAACATTTAAAATGATCCCTCTTATCTAGTCACACTCTGGAACCCGTTAATGACTCTACTTCCATGTCCCTCTCTCCCCCTTACCTTCATAGACTCCGATATATATGAATGTATTTTATACTTCTATGATATGATATAAGTGAGTGCCTTATTTTCCTAAATGCATTGTCCTGTAATTCTAGCCATGTTGGTGAAAATGGCAAAATTTCAATAATTTTTATCTGTGTTGGTAGAAGTTTATGTCCTTCTAGCAGCTACCAAATAAACACTCTGAGGTTTATATTAATTACAGATGCTCAGGTCAATGGCTCAGGCTTATTACTAACTAGCTCTTACAACTTAAATTAACTCATTTTTATTAATCTATGTATTGCCACATGGCTTGTGGCTTTACCTGTTCTCCAACATGTCTTGCTCCCTCTGTTTCTTCTGGAGACTCTTCTAATTCCTCCCTTCTTCTTTCCAGCATTCTCAGTTTGGCTTTTATGCCTGTACGCCCTGCCTGGCTACCAGCCAGTCAGTTCTTTATTAACCAATGAGAGTACTACATATTCACAGTGTACAGAAGGATTATTCTACAGCACATATAAGTGAGGAATATATATATATATATATATATATATATATATATATATATATTGTGCCTTATTTCCCTTAATGCACTGTCTTGTAATTCTATCCATGTGGGTCAAAATGGCAAAATTTCTGTCATTTTTATGAATGAGTATTATTTTAGTATCTGTATTTTATTTATTTATACATCAGTGGACACTTAGTTTAATTTCCATATCTTGGCTATTGTGACTAGTACTGCAGTAACATGTGAATGCGGATAGATATCATTTTGCTCCTGAGTTTAGAATAAATTATTTCAGATGTTTCTCATTGTTATGATATTGGCAATGGTCTGTCATACATGGGCTTTACTGTGTTAAGTTCTTTTATACCTAATTTTCTTTTCTTCATGATAGGATGCTGAGTTTTACTAAATGCCTTTTCTTCATCTTTACAGACAATCATAAAATTTTGTTTTCCATTCTGTTGATAGAGTGTTACGTTTTTTATTTGTGTATGTTGAGCCATCCTTGCATTTATTTAATAAATTGTGATGTATAACTTTTTTGATATGTTGGATTTGAGTTGCTGGTACTTTATTGAGAATTTTAATAGCTATGATCATCAGGAATTTGGTCTGTGCATTCCTTTTTTGACTGTGTTTTGTGGGGATAGATGTCAGCATAGAACAACTTTGGAAGGTTTTCCTTTCTTTCAGTGTTTTGGACTATTTTGAGACAAATTTGAGAAGAGCTAATGTGAGCCAGAAGTGGCACACACCTAGCATGCTGGCTATCCAAAAGCATTCGCTCTTCTTTCACAGTTTGCTGAAACCATCTAGCCCTGGGATTTTGTTCTTTTGGGGTGGGACCAAAGACTTTGTATTACAGATTCAGTCTTCTTACTTATTATTGGCTTTTTCAAGTTTTCTATATTATAATCTATATTTTTAAATGCCTCATTTTTGTTTCTGTATAGGAGATTTATGGCTCTAGTGAGGGGTAGGTAATCCTATTGTTTAAGTGTTCTGTTTGTCTTTAGCACATCACCATTAGCAAACTGTAGTTGCATAGATTCTTTTTTCAATGTTCAAAGTATATATATATATATATACATATACACACACACACACACACACACACACACACACACACATATCTGTGTTTGTAACAGTGTAAGTTACCAGCTAAACTGGGTGGGATACTTTTAAGAAAGAATATTGGTAATACAGATATTTTTAAGAAGGAATATTGATAATAAAGGAGGAAGTTAGTAATAATTATTTATCTCAGGATGTAGAACATCAGGTTTAAGTGGCAGTTGTCTTCTAGTAAACAGGAAAGGATGGATTCCACTTAAAGCATCAGCCACAATGTGTCTTTAGTCCAAGGATTCTCATTAACTCTAGCTCCCTAGCATTTCACTTTCTTTTAGTGATTTATTTGCTGAAATTTCTTCTTTTTGTATGGAATGGATTGCAGACAGCCTAGAACTTTGACTGTCTTTGGGTTAGAGAAGGTCTGTGTATTTGTCTTTTCCAGATATTTCACTTCTTTAAATCTTAATTGCTGGAAGAGAGGACATGAAGAGGCTTCTAAGTGCAATGAGTAGAGGGGGGATGTTTCATGTAACTTCAGCTTTCTCTTCTTTTCCTTCCATGTGTGCCATACTCAGATATCATTGCTTTTTTCTGAAATTAGTTTTCCACTTGCTAGGTGTGTGTGTTGGGGGGGGGGGTGTCATGTGTTTTCATTGTGTCCAAATTTTATGGTCATCCATGTGCTTATCTTGAACTTTCTTCAATATTTGGCTAAATTAATCACTCGTCAAAGAGCTTTCCTTTTGCATTGTTACATTATTTTAGTCTTTTTGTTTGTTTGTTTGTTTTTTTTACTGGCTACTGCTTTATAGTCTTTTGTGTTGTTAGGGATTCAGTGCAGGGGCCTTGTATAGGTAAGTACTCTATCACTGAGCTTTCCCCAGCCCCTGGTTAGTTAAGACAAATTCTTTGTAGCACAGGCTGGCTTTGAATTTCTGAGCCTCCTGCCAGTAAGTATCATGCTTACTCCCTCAGTCTTCCTTGCTTCCTTTCTGATTTTCTTCGTAGGCTTCTCCTTTGTGCAAATCCCAAGCTTTAGAGTTTGAACTTTGTTTTCTTTTTGCTAAAATGACTCATTTGTACTATAAACTCCATGTCTATATGCATGATTGACTCTCACATACCTGTTTCCAGGTCAGACTTCTTAGACACTTGCTGAAGTGTCTGAAGTAGATATTTATCTGAAGTAGATATTGCTGAGATTTGCTATGTGAGTCCTATGTTTCTTTTTGTAATACTTAGCACAGTTTTGCTGAGTTTTATGTATTTGGTTTCTTGTGTTTTATCTGTCTTCCCTGTTAGGTCTTTGAGTATAGAGACTTCTCTTGCTCTCTCTTGGCAGCATCTAGTAAATATTGAGTAAATAAATGAAAATCTTACCATGTTCAATTTTGTTTGTTTGTTTCAGATATGATCATTCTGTTTCAAATGACAAGGCCTTAATGGTGCTAACTGAAGAACCACTACTTTATATTCCCCCACCTCCATGTCAGCCCCTGATTAATACAACAGAATCTCTCAGGTGAGTCTGTGGGTTGTTGCAGAGACACCTGCATGGCTTCCCATGGTAGCTTTAGAACTTAGAAAAGCATAGCATTTCTTTGGGTTACTAAGAGGCCAAGAGAATCTAAATTACTTTTTGGATCACTGTAGGCCTGTCAGTTGTCTGGTTTCTCTACCAGCTTGGCTGAGATGGTGCTGATTGCCTGTCTTTGTGTGTCTCATTTGAAAACTAAAGGATGAAGTGAATGTTAAAGTCAGGGCAAGGCTAAACTTGTGGACGTAATACTCTCAGCACACAGCATGCTTTTTTTTTTTTTTTTTTTTTTTCCAAATTAGGAAGGTAATATTTGACTATGTTGTTCTGGACATACTTTCCCTTATCTTAGCTTTTCTTTTTTTTTCAAATCAAAAAGCGTTGTTGAGTAGTCAGGTATGTTGGCTGCTCTTTGGGTCCTGTAGAATGATTAAATTAATTTCCAACAAAAGAGTAAGACAGTTAACTTATATTAAATAAATTTGATTAATCTGTCTTACAGGTTGAACCATGAACTTCGAGGCTGGGTTCATAGACATGAAGTGGAAAGGACCAAATCAAGAAGAATGATAAATAACCAACAGAAGACCCGCATTCTTCAGGTTTGTTTCTGCTTGTGTGTGAAGAAATGACAGCACAGTTGCTGGGAACCTTCTCCCAGTGGAGTTGCTTTCTTCCCAGGGAGAACTGGGAATCTAGGCTGCTTTTCTTTCTCATGGTGGCTGCTTCTGATGTGGCAGCCATCTCCACTGAAACAGCTCTCCAGCGTTTGTAGCCCTTAGTTCAGGTCTTAGAGCACAAAAGTTCCTGGTCAGGCATGGTGTTATTTCCTGCTCTCCCTCCTTCCCTTCTTCCCTTCTTCCCTCCTTCCCTCCCTCCCTCCCTCCTCCCCTCTCTCCCTCCCTCCCTGCCTTTCTCCCTCCCCCCCTCTTCTCTTCCTCCTAGCCTCCCTCTCAACACAGGTAGTACAATAAATAATAATGTTTATTCTCCCTTACCCCTCCCCACTGCTTCTTAGAGCTTTTCAAAGAGGATGTTGAAAGCACATGACACATTGTAGGGAAGAACACACTATGTTCTTTTGAACTTAGACATGTTCCACTACAGGTTAATGGTAGTGCTGACTTAGGACCATAAAAAAATAATGTCTGTGTACCCCATATCCCCCCACACACACCCATACCCCCCAACACACACATCTCTCAGTAACTTATATTTTTAAAGCAGGAATAAAAACAATTTATAAAAATACAAAGGGAGGGTCAAGTAAAATTATATAGCTAAGTTGTTTGTTTGAGACAGGGTCTTACCAGGTATCCCTGGCTGGCCTGGCACTTACTATATGGACAATACTGGTCTTGGCTTACAGAGATTCACCTGCCTCTGCCTTCTGAATGCTGAGATTATAGCAATGTTTTTATACTATCCAAATATTATTCCAAAGTAGACTGTGATGATGTAACATGGATAACAGTGGACCCTGTATATATTGTTTTTCCCTATCCATGCATAGCTGTGATAAAGGTTAATTTCTGAGTTAAGTACAGTAAAAGACTAATAGCAATAATAGAGCATTTATAACAATATCCTGTAGTAAAATCTCCAGCACCATTACTCTTGAGCTTGAGGCCATTATTCAGTGAAGTAAGGTTATCTTTATACAAGTACTGCTATACCATGGCAGTTGATCTGAGGACTGAGATGCCTACTAAACTGACTAACATGCACTTATGCATGGGTATATATGCTAATCATTGACAATTATCAAATAAGGCCCTTGGTGTGGATCCTGAAAGTGGAACCCTCAAAGTCATTCTTGCACATTGGTTCCATTTACCAAAGAAACTTGTTCTCCTTATTCCTCCCATAAACATTTTATTGTCTGTAGAACTTTTACCCCAAGTCATACCCTGAGCCTCTTAAAGGAAATCAGATACCTAATTTGGAGCCCTACTTCTTGTAAAGATGGGTGTATGAACACAATAGTAATAAATTTCAGGAGATTTATGATTAAACTATCACATATCAAGAATACTTATTCTTGTGAAGTAGCTATAAGGTCACTTTAATGTAATAATAGTAATATACCTTTGAATTCTGATACCCTTTCAAGATTGTCCTAAAGATTAGCTTACAAAACTTCCAGAAAGTTTAAGAGGACAGAAGACAGAACAAATGCCATGTGGAATAGAAGTTTCTAGTGCAACATGTTGGCCACTGATGGTTCCATACTGAACTGTTCTCTGGCCAAGAGAGTCGTGGATTAGATAGATGCCTTTCATGAAATACAACCCCTGTTAGGTGTGAGGAATTTGTATTTAACTTGGTGAACAGTGGAAATCTTGTTTCATTTTGAGCCTTTCCTATTTCTTTATTTTAGATTAATTAATTTTTATTACGTATACAGTGTTCTGCCTGCATATATACCTGCATGCCAGAAGAGGGCACCAGATCTCATTATAGATGGTTGTGAGCCACCATGTACTTGCTGGGAATTGAACTCAGGATCCCTAGAACAGCCAGTGCTCTTAGCCTCTGAGCCATCTCTCCAGGCCCCACCTTTCCTATTTCTTAGGGATTTGTCTGTAACATAATTTTTGACAAATGAAAGTTGTTACATGCCCAGTAATACTTGTACAGCTTGGTCATAAACTCCCAGTGGTTGAACTAAATTTTCTCATTTTTTCTGTAAACTTTGTGGGAAATGCTTGCAATGTCTTAATAAGACTGTATAAAAATATTCTCAGTTTACAGTGTGACCTGAAACAAATCCAAGTATGAATTAGTAAGGGAAGTTTTTCGTGCTATTTCCTAAATCATCTTCTCTCTTCCAGGGTGCTCTGGAGCAGGGCTCAAATTCTCAGCTGATGGCTGTCCAGTACACAGAAACCACTAGCATCAGGTAAGAAGGTGTGGGAGCTCCTGGCCAGAGAGCTTGACCTGTATTGTCTTTTAGTGAAGTTTAAATTCATGCCTCCTCTTTGTGTTCCTCTATAGCTTTTATATCAGTTCAGATTAACATATACTACTAATTAGCAATCCCAATAAAAAGATCACTTCTCCCAAGCCTCTTAAATACAGATTTAGTCAGAATGTTTTTCAGTAAAATTTGGCTGAAAATCCTAAGTACATGGTGCTTTCTTGTTTTTGATTTTTATCTGATTTGTAAGCCTCAGGGAGAGAGGTATTGCCTTTTTTTCTCTTTTGTAGGTATCTTGTTGAGTGATCACATTTTAAAAAATTATTAATTTGTGTGTGCATGTGTGTTTGTGTAATGAAGGCAGAGGAAAAGTAAAGTCAGAGAAAAACTCTGGGGAGTTAGTTCTCTCCTTCCACCTTGTTAATGCAGGCTCACTCTTGTTTCTGTTGTACTGCGAACTTCAAGCTAGCTGGCCCACAGGCTTCCCAGTGATTCTTCTGTCTTGACCCCTCCTATCTCAATAATAGTGCTCACATTACAGTGTGGCCTTTGGTTAGCTTTTTGTTTTTTGAGACTGAGTTTCACTGTGTAGCTCTGGCTGTGAGAGTCACTGGCTTGTGCCTCTTGGGTGTACCACCACCGCCTGGCTTGATCCAGCTTTTTTTATGTGGATCCTGTAGATTGAACTCAGTCATTAGGGTTGTGTGACAGGTGCTTTTACCCACTGAGCCATCCCGTCTACCTTGGCTGAGTGCTTTACATACATCTTCTTTAAATTTATATAATGATTCAAAAGTATATTTTATATATGAAAAGGGTAGAGAGTCCAGGGTTTTTGTTTGTTTGTTTTAAATAATTTTCAAAGTCATGAACTAAGTGGTAGAACTAGACTCTACAGGAGATTTTGAAAGATTCCAAAGAGAGTTCAGTATCCAGCATTTCAACTGTTATCATCCAGGCAAATGTAACTTAGAAGGAAAGCAGTGTGGAAAGTAGTACAGTCATGATGAAGGGACCATCTGTAGTGAGGCAGAACTGTAGTCATAGATCTTCCTAACTTGCTCTGTGAACCAAGCAGATTAATATAGCAAGGATGAGACTTTATGTTTGATCTTCTAGTACCCCAAGCAACAATAGCAATAAAACCATATCATTTACATAAGTCAAATGTGGCAGAACATCATATGGCACCTTATAAATTATGCTGATTGAGAAAAAAAGATTAAAAAGTAAAATTGTTGTTAAAATGCCGCAGTTTTGGCTGAAAGACACTCTTAGATTCAGATGTGATCTTAGAATGGAAGGAATTGGAAAGATTCAACATGTTTGAATATTAATGATATTTTCTGTCTTCTCATGTTAGTAGGAATTCTGGGAATGAGCTGCAAGTTTATTATGCTTCACCAGGAAGTTACCAAGGCTTCTTTGAAGCCATCCGCAGGCGAGGGGACACATTTTACGTCGTATCGTTTCGAAGGGTAAGTTGATTTTCAAAGAATAAAGCAAGCGTTTTTGAATACCTGCTGTGTGCAAAGGTCTCAGACTGAGTCTTATAGAAGGTACAGAGGTAGGTAGAAGGCAGGATGAAGTCAGTGGTGCGAGTACAACAGTGTGAGTGAGTGCTGTGATGGGTGCAGACTTGACAAGCTGGGCAGCGTTTGAAGAAGGTGGACATGGCACTGATGCCAGGCTACATATTGTGCACTAGAAAACACAAACTACACCTTGATTTTTATTCCTTATCACCCCTGTAGCTATACTGTTTGTTTCTAACCAAAGGAAAAGTAAAAATACCATTTCTTATTATTCATTTTAAGCCAATTGGTAATTAAGGAACAGACTTCTATTTGTCAATTGTGGAGTGTTTAAATCTATGTTCCCAAGTGTCTTTGTTTCTTTTTTATTTCTTCATTGAATATTTACTTTTATTGGTGAAGAATATGTTAAATAATGTCAGGTTATATAAGCACAAATGTTTATACTAGCATTTTTGAATGTTAAAAATGTTAGACCACATGAAAAAGCATATACACTTATAGCCCACCTGCTTTTCCTATCAAATAGCAGTATATTCTTCATAGAGTTTCCATCCCACAGCCTCTTTGTGTGCTATTCATTAACCAGGAAAACAGAAATGATCTGAGCTACTCAGCGGTTTGCATCCTAAGCCATTTCTTTCTTTTAATCTATTTTTTTTTGTTTGTTTGTTTTGGTTTTGGTTTTTCGAGACAGGGGTTCTCTGCATTGGTTTGGAGGCTGTCCTAGAACTAGGTCTTGTAGACCAAGCTGGACTCAACTCACAGAGATCTGACTGCCTCTCTGCCCGAATGCTGGGATTAAAGGCATGTGCCACCAACGCCCAGCCCTTAAATCTATGTTGTTTTTAATTAATTACTTGTATATATTAGTATGTGCATGTGAGTGCTGTATTAGTTGCATTCTGTTGCTTTGATAAAACACCACAACCAAGACAACTTATAACTTATGGAAGATGTTGTTTATATTTAAAGGATGAGAGTTCATGATGATGGAGTGAAAGCAGCAAGCCGCAGTCATGGTGGCTGCAGCAGGAGCTGGTGGCTCACACAAGCACAAAACAGAGAGAGAGAGAGAGAGAGAGAGAGAGAGAGAGAGAGAGAACTGGAAATGGCATGAGTCTTCAGACTCCCAAGATCCACTGACAGAGACATACTTCCTCCAACAAGGCCACACCTCCTAAACCTCTGCAAACAGTGACACGAACTAGGGTCAAGCATTCAAATACTTGAGACTGTGGGGGACATGTCATTAAAACTCTGACAAGTGCATTGCCCAGAATTGGGTGTCAGATCTTGCGGAGCTGGCCTTACAGGCAGTTATAAGCCACCTGATGGGGGTGTTGGGAACTGAATTCAGGTCCTCTGCAAGAACAATAAGCACTTATCACTGAGCCATTTCTGTAGCTGCCCAAACCATTCATTTTTAAAGAACAAACTATAGGGGGTATATGGTCAGAAATAAGTATTCACGAACAGTAGAATGACTTTTTGTCTCTTAGTTGCTGTTGCCAATCACTGTCACAGAATGTCAATGAAATAGTGTTTTTCTAAATTAGAAATTAGTGGCTCAGGGTTTCAGGAATAGAGAAAATGAGCTCTTGAAGATTAGATTAGATGTGATACACACACACACATGTGTATGCATGCATGCATATATGTATTTCTAGTTATTATCAGATATACCAGGTGATTTGGAATACTTCAGCGGTGGCATCTGATGATCATAGCCTTTTCAAAAAATCTATGCTCTTTCTCCCAATTAGTCTATTCCTTTACCAGCCTTTTGAGTGACAAATGAGAAACTGAGAACAGAATTTCATTAAGGCTCTAACTGTCTTTGCTTATGAGAACTAAGGATTTGCTCTTCTGTTGATACAATTGTGTTTAAGATTAAAGGAAAAGTAAACCTTATGAATGGATCTTGTACTTTATAAGAACCTGATGGGTGCTGGCATACAAAACTATGTTACTGAACTAACAGCAGAAGCATGTTTCAATGCCAAATAGCTTTTTAAATTTTAAAAAGGCCCAGGATATGCCTTCATTTGATCAAAAGAGTATAACAAATAGTAGAATCTATAGCTGTCAACCATGGGTTGGAATTATTGTTAATGTCTTTCTAGGGAGACACACACAACACACACACACACACACACACACGGGTGGAAAAAAGACTTTATTAAAGGAGATGTGTGTGTGTGTGTGTGTGTGTGTGTGTGTATATATATATGATAAGATGCTTTTGTTAAAAAAAATACAAGAATTACCTTTTCACTGCATGTGTAAAAAGCTCTTTCTCATTTTTTTGTGGGGGGAAAGTACTGATGGAAAATTATTGATTTCTCCTTCCATCCTTTGTAATGTTCAGGTAGTTTAATTAAGGGTAGGTCACACATTCTGTTTTTTTCATCTTCTAATTATAATTTATCATCTATATTTAGGAAGATACAGATATAAACCTGCAACATTGTTTCTTCATTCCTTTCTCTCTCTCTCTCTCTCTCTCTCTCTCTCTCTCTCTCTCTCTCTCTCTCTCTCTAACAGTTGGGGAAAGGAGTTAATTTTATTGCAGTGACTATAAACTGTGTCATGAGACAGGAATCCAGTTCTTAAATACCTGGATTGCTCATTTTTCTCTTGCTAAGATGAAAATGCAAGAAGTGATGGATTACCTCATGGTTGGCATTTTCTTGCACTTTTTGGTGTGAAACATTTTCCTTAAAAGTTTTGTTGAAAATCATGTGGCATGAGTAGGAGGAGGTTGACTTTGCTCTTGTTGGGTTCTTAATCCCACTGGCTGAAAAGATGGCATTGGACATCCATTCAGGAATAAGGTATGAAGCCCATGGCTATGCATAGCTAGAGCTGCATGCACACTTACTGTCAGGCCACTAGCACAGCCAGGTTGCTTTCTTTTACTGTATTTAACCAAATGTCTTAGTAGCTACAGAAGTATATGTGGGCCTCGCAAACTCTTGTTTCCTCTTCAAACCCCACACTCTTGTAGCTGTTAATCTCCTTACTGTTGTGCTGGTGACATCATCTTCTCTAAAGAAGGCATGCTTTTGGGTAACTACTGAGTTCTTGCTGTATGTGAGCAAGAGAGAAATTCTGACAGGAAAACGTTTTCTGTTGCTTTGACTTTTTCTTCTGCCTGGTTTTACCTCCAGCACAGTAAGCTCTTGTCTCCTTGTTGACTTCTAGTCATTCATACCTTGGTTTTCTGTTAGTCTTTTTTTCTTTTTCCTTCTTTTAAACTTGTTTTGGTATAATTTAGAGGGGTAGGAGGTGGAGAATAGCTTTTGTCAATAGTCAATGAACTATTCATAAATAAGAAAAAAAGAAATACAATGTTTCTTTTTCTCAATGTGTTTGTATAATAGACTGTGTAGGGAGAGTAAGAAAATGAACTCAGTGCATGGCCAGAAGCAGATACTTGGAAGAGTAAATTTAAGTAGGAAAGTGATACCAATGAGGTGGAAATGAACCTGAGAAGGGTAAGGAATGCTGTGGTCATAGCTGTCACTCCAGGGAGCTTTGAAATGCCATCCATTGATGTTTCTTTCCAAATCAGTTATATCTGGAGAAAGGATATCAAATCTTGGGGCAGTTTCTCTTTAAGAGCTGGTTTCCTGGCTAGAGAGGTTAGTAAAAATGCTTGATGCATACATAGCTCAGGGATCCTGATTCTAGGTCCACTGCATTCATTTAAAAACTGGACATGGTTACATGTGTCTGTTACTTCAGTGCTGGAGTGGGAAGATCCCACTCCACAGGATGATCCCTTGAGCTTATTGGTCTATAGCCAATTTAGGAGGCAATGTGTCCAGTGAAAGACCTTGTTTCAAAAATAAGGTGGAGAGTTACTATAAAAGACACCTGATATAGACCTCTGGCCTATTAAAGGCAGGAAGCAGTATGACTTTTTTTGATCACTGCCCTGATGTGCAGCACAGTGCCTACCTGCCAGTGCTTATTGAGTCTAGATATTGTAGGTATGCTTCACTGAGAGAAGCCCAGTGTTTTTTCCATTGTTTGGTGTGGTGGTGTATGGTTTATGATTTATTAAAGCTTGCCTAAGGATTCAGAAAGCAGAGTCAGCACAAGCCATAGAAACCAAATACATACCTTTAATCCCAGCAGCCAGAGGCTAGGATGTGGTGGTACACACCTTTAATCCTAGAATTTAGAATTAAGAGATAGACAGATCTCTGTGAGTTCAAAGCCACCCAGATCTATACAAGATTGACCCAGCTGTAAAGAGAAACAGCTCACACAAAGACAACCTCAACACCTGGGATCATTTGCCTTTAATCCCAGCACTAGAGGGGTATAAAAGACAGGAGCAGGGTATTCATTAGTCAGTGTCAGGCATTCGTTCTCCAGCCACATTGAGGATTCTCCTGCCATGCTGAGGAGACATAGCAGGGTCAGCCCATTCAGCCCGAGGTAGTGGTACTAACTCCCTGGTATTTTGGCTGCTTTGTTTTCCTGATCTTCAGGTTGAAGCCTAATATCTGTCTCTGGGTCATTTATTTATCCTGTTTCTTGTGTTACAGTTTGGCATAAAGAATGTGACTGTTTTACTGATCTAACTTAACTAATGCAAGTGGTACTAAGTTCAGCAGAGTTTAGGTAGCATTGGCTTCTCTTGTAATTTCTGGGTGCTTCAGCCAGAGTTACAGCAACTTTATGTCTTCTCTCTAATCTAAGTCTTAGAAGTAAAGAACCTTCCTTGATGAATTGCTAATCCTATTCAGTGTCATCAAGTAGAGCCTTAAGTTACTTTGTGAAAGCATTTTGGAGCAGATGGATTGTTGTAGAATTCTCTCTGCTCTTTTTTTGTTCTGGGTTTTGAAGAAGGGTTATTGTTTCATACTAGCATAGATTAAAGCAACATATTTGAGTAAATGAGTCAGAAACTTAAACACTTTAGACAA